AGCTAGGAGGAAGAATTTTGTGGTACAGGGGATTGAACCCAGGGCCTTGCATATGCTAGGCAAGTGCACTACCACTGAGCTACATCCTCAGCCCTTCTGCTTTTTAAAAAATAATTTTACTGTGAGACAGGGTCTTGCTAAGTTTCCCAGGGTGGTCTCAAACCTGTGATCCTCCTGCTTCAGCTTCCCAAGTAACTGGATTATAGGCATGTACGACTATGCCCAACCTAGGAGAAAGGATTTTCAATGTTCCCAAAACAAACAAAGGAGAAATGAGCTAAACAGAGTAGTCAACTACCCTAATCTGATCACTGCATTTGTATGTGTGTACTGAAATATCACATTGCACTTCTTAAGTATGTAAAATTATTATGTGTCCATTAAAACAAACTAGCAAATAAAGAGTGTGGTCTCCATAAGGGCAAAAATTTCTGACCATGTTGTTTACTGCTATAAGCACAGGATCTAGAACACCCCTAGCACACAAAAAGTACTCAAAAATATCTGCTAAAAGTAAATCAATGAATAGATTCTGATTTCTGTCCTTTTCCAACCTGGTTATAAGGTTCTTGCTTTGATTCTCTGAGTCACCCTATATCCTTTCCATCAATTTTTATTTGCTTAAGTTAGATCTTTGTAACCAAAATATTTAAGGGAGGAAGGCTCCTCAAGATACAGCATTAATGATAATAGATATGAACTAAGCTTGTGCTGTTAAATAAATTATAGTAGCACAACGTGCAGTCAGAATAGAATTATTACATATAAAACCAAAACCCACCTCAAATGTACTTGTCATAAATTCCTCTTTGCACTTATGCTGCAATTTCTCCAAGACATAAAATGGGGTTAAGGTCCCTCAGAACTATGATGTGAAACAATTTAAGTTTATTTAAAATAATTAAAGATCATAAGTTGTTTAACAAATGTGTTATATGGTTAAAAAAAAGTCCTAAAGTTTTCAAAAAGTAATTATTTTGTGTTTATTTTGTTAATGAGATGATAATTTCAAACTTCCTTAAAGCATGCCTAGCTTTTCTCTCTCCCATTTGGACCAACAATGTTTTCAAGGCACAGGCTTTACAAGCATTTCTCAAAGAAGGAAACAGTTCTAAACAATCTTTAATTGTTTAAAAACATAACATCTTTGTCTGGGATGCTACTATAAAATGTCATAAAACAGAGCAATTTAAACAACAGAAATTTGTTTCTCACAGTTGTGAATGTTGGAAAATCTAAAGAACAAAACAGATTTAGTGTAACTAGAGGCACTTTTTCATTTATAGGCAGTGCCTTCTCACTGTGCTCTTTACATACAGAAGCAACAAGGGGTGTCTCCTGGGTCTCTTTTATAAAGGCACCAATTCCATCACTAGGGCCTTCTTCCCTCCTGACCTATCTCCCCAAACTTTCACCCTATAATACCAACACCTCGGGAGTTAAATTTCAACGTATGAATTTGGAGTCAAAGACCATAAACATTCAGGCCACAGCAGAGACAAGAGATAAAAATGAAAGAGAAAGGGAGAGAGAAATTCATAACATTTTAAATAACTTCAGGAAATGACTGGAATATCTACTATTAAGCCAAAAATATTATACTTCCCAAGGTCAACATACAAATGTTATGCTATGTCCACTCATTTCAAAAGTTAATTCTCTAATACATGAGCTAAAGAAAGAAACAAAGAGTTACTTAGGAACAGACATGTGTCCAATAAGGCACTCCCTAGCACTTTCTGGGAGATGGTCAAACGCGAAAAAACAAATACAATTACCAATGTGGGAAAACCGCCCTAGATGAACCAATATCCAGAATAAGTCCATATATTTCTGATATTCATATTCAACTTCTTTAAAACATTAATCAAACTGTATATAATGACTCTTTCCAAATAGGAATAAATAACTCTTGCTCACTGAAGGAATTATAGCACCATGTAGTTTTATGGTGCTATAATTTTTATATATAAAAAATGTTTTATATATAAATTAAATTTTATAAGTTTTATATATAAATTAAAACTTTCATTTTTTAAATACCACTATTGTCGTGGAAGGAAGTGTTTTATATATATATATATATATATATACATATATATATATATATATATATACATATATATATGTATGTGTGTGTGTGTGTATATACATATATATATGTTTTAAGTTATCAATGGACCTTTATTTTATTGATATGTGGTGCTAAGAATTGAACCCAGTGCCTCACACATGCCTGGCAAGCAGCAAGGGGTGCCACTGAGCCCCAGCCCCAGCCCATGGAAGTGTTGATTTTGTTATTTGTAGAATATTTATATCTACCTCATCATGAAACCTCTGCAGCATTATGACAAAGCCTGCTTGGTACAATATTCTCTTTCTTGGTGCCTTTATAAAGAAACTGTGGTTTATATACACATTATACCCAGATAGGAAGGCAGAGGGGAAAAAAACACAGGTCAGAGTTAAAAACAGTCAGACCTCATTTCCAATGAGGATTATCCCTCCTTCCATGAGCAATCTGGAGTTCAGAATGAGAGACAAGAGGCACAGTCGGATGCCCCTGAGGGAGGTGGAGAGAGTGCACACTGCTCTGCGGATTCCCTAACTGCCTTAACAGAAAACCAAGCCCTGGTTTGCTTCCCCCCCAGCCTCAGTTCTTCTATATAAAATTTTGCTAGCAAAAGAAAAAATGAGGTAAAGAGAGAGCCTATGTTTTGGGAGCAAATTTTTGCCACATGCACACCAGATACAGCACTAATCTCCAGGATATATAAAGAACTCAGAAAACTTAACACCAAAAAAGCCAACAACCCAATCAATAAATGGGCATAGGAGCTGAACAGACACTTCTCAGAAGAAGAAACATAATCAATCAACAAACATAGGAAAAAAATGTTTAACATCTCTAGCAATTAGAGAAATGCAAATCAAAACTAAGATTTCATCTCACTCCAGTTAAAATGTCAGTAATCAAGAATACAAACAACAGTAAGTGTTGGCGAGGATGTGGAAGAAAAGGCACATTCATACTTTGCTGCAAACTGGTGCAGCCAATCTGGAAAGCACTATGGAGATTCCTTGAGAAACTTGGAATGGAACCACCATACCACCCAGCTATCCCTGGGTCTCCTCAGTTTATACACAAAGGACTTAAAATCAGCATAAAATCAGTGATGCAGCCACATCAACGTTTATAGCAGCTCAATTCATAATAGCTCAACTATGGAAGCAACCTAGATGCCCTTCAATAGATAAATGGATAAAGAAACTGTAGTATATATACACAATGGAATATTACTCAGAATTAAAAAAGAATAAAATTATGGCATTTATAGGTAAATGGATGGAGTTGGAGAATATCATGCTAATGAAATAAGCCAATCCCTCAAAACCAAAGGCTGAATGTTCTCTCTGATAAGTAGATGCTGATCCATAATGGGGGGGGGGGGCACACATGGGAAAAATGGAGAAACTTTGATTAGGCAAAGGAGAGGGAGTGGAGGGGGCATGGAAGCAGGAAAGATGGTGGAATGAGATGGACATCATTACCTAGGTACACGTATGACTGCGTCAGGACATCATATACAACCAGAGAAATGAAAAGTTGAGCTGCAATTGTGTACAATGAACCAAAAATGCATTCTGCTGTCACATATACCTAATTAAAATAATAAGTGAAGGAAATATGGATGGAAAATTAAAACACACAAAAAAATTTGATAGCACACAAAGTACTGAGGGTGAAGTCCCTGTTTTCTGGACACAATTAGTGCCCTGCATTGCTGAGCTACATTCCCAGCCTCTTTGTAACTAAGGAGAAATCTATACAACCCTCTAGCTTCATTTGCTTGTAGCTGATTTTTACTGGAGGTCACCCAGCTAAGTTGTAATCATTAGTATCCCAGTAGCTTTGCTATGGTGACACCTCTGAGCCAAGGTGCCTACCAAGCCAAAGGCTCATATTGTCCTGTTCCCCTACTGAGAAGATGCCTTCTGTATCTAAACGATTAACTGCAAAGCTAGCTATTCCTGAGAAAACAAACTTAAAAAGCATGAATCATAAGACGTTCTAACCGGTAGCTTTTCTTTAGATTCACAGAACCCACGGTATCGGGTGACCTTCAGATAACTGCAGCCAGGGCACCAGAAGAGCACATCACTGAACTACCCTGGTGCTGCCCATCTGCTATACTTGCTCTGAAGTCCCTATATAAGCCCTGCGCCTGTAACCCTTAAGCAAGACGGCTTTTTTTTTTTTTAGAACAAAGCATTTTTTCCTCACTCTGCCACTCGAGTTATTGGCTCCGTGGGCAGCAGTGGAACCGAACTTTCCGCGGCTGCACCTTCGCTGCCCTCTGGCCGCAGGTCTTCCCAAGCCCTAACTCGGGTTTCCCACCCCGGCATCACTGCTGTTCAGGAAGGCCCGCACGGCGACCCGGACCGGCTTCCACCGTGCTGGCGGCACAGTGTCTGTCAATCAAGCCCTCCCCTCGGACCCGGCTTCCACCGTGCGGGCGGCGCGGTTCCTGTCAATCAAGCCCTCCCCTCAGACCCGGCTTCTACCCTGCAGGCGGCGTGGAGCCTGCCAATCAAGCCCTCCCCTCGGACCCGGCTTCCACCGTGCGGGCGGCGCGGTTCCTGTCAATCAAGCCCTCCCCTCGGACCCGGCTTCTACCCTGCAGGCGGCGCGGTTCCTGTCAATCAAGCCCTCCCCTCAGACCCGGCTTCTACCCTGCAGGCGGCGTGGAGCCTGCCAATCAAGCCCTCCCCTCGGACCCGGCTTCCACCTTGCGGGCGGCGCGGTGCCTGCCAATCAAGCCCTCCCCTGAGCCTAACTCCGCCCGACCCGGGGTCGCTGGGGGAGCTGAGAGAGGGGAAGCAGTTCTGCTCCGGCTCAGTCTCCACCGCGGAACGCGGCTCACCCCTCACCGCCTCCCAGGCCCCGAGGACCGCTCCGCGCGGGAGAAGCCCGGGTCGCGCACGCCCACCACACCCACCTTGGCGCGCCTTCAGCAGCAGCGTGTTGGCCACGATGTTCTCCAATGGCAAGGGCCCGAGGCGGCCGCCGCCGGCGTCTGCGGTCTCGGGGAGGCAGGGAGCGCTTGCGGGCCAGAGTCGCGGGGGCCGCTGCCGTGGGCTCCGCGCATCCCTCGCCCGGCGCCGCCTGCTCGTCCGGCCGGAGACAGGACCTCCGGGAGCCGCCCCGCCGCGGCCGGCGCCGCCGTCGGCGCGAACGTCGGCCCACGGGGGCCTCGCCGAGGGCTCCAGCGCGGGAGTGGCCGGGGGGCGAGGTGCGGGGAGCACGGCGGCCGCGGGACTCCTCGGTCACGGCCGCTGCGGCGTCGCTCGGGCTCCGGTCCGCCTTGTCGCCCCCGCCCAGCGCGCGCGACCCTCTCCTCGGCGCCCGATGCCCGGGCAGCTCCGAGACTGCGCTGCACCACACTTCACAGGGCCCACTGGAAGGGGGGCCGCCGCCGCCGCCGCCGCCCTCTTCTGGCTCAGCGGCCGACTCCCCACTAACGGCTTCCCAGAAGAGGGCGCCCGAGGAGGCCGCGGCGCCTCGAGGGCACTACGACTCCCAGAAGGCCCCGCGTAGAGGCCGCGGGAGCGTAGCCTGCCGGGAGTTGTAGTCGCTCAGCCAATAGGCACCTAGGCTGAGCGGGAGACCGTCGGCGTCCTCCTGGGCTGGTCTAGGTCCCGTGAGAGCTGGGTAGTTATCGCGAGACGACGCTCGGCGGCGTCCGCAGCCGCACACGCGTTTCCCCAGTGAAACACTGCTGTCGGCCGCCGCGGGTTCCCTGGCTTTCGTCGCGAGTTTGGCGGAGCGCTCGGCATGGGGAAGGCCAGGCTGGCCGCGGCGCGGAGGCAGGCGCCCCGGGCGCCGCTGGGGGGACGCGGGGGCGCGGCGAAGGCCAACCCGAACCCGTTCGAGGTAAAGGTCAACAGGCAGAAGTTCCAGATCCTGGGCCGGAAGACGCGCCACGACGTGGGGCTGCCCGGCGTGGCTCGCGCGCGGGCCATCAGGAAGGTGAGGGGCTGCCGGAGCTGGCTCGGCTGTCGGCTTCTCGCCGCCGCGTTTCCCCGGCTGCAGGGTGGAGGCCGCGCGGGCCGCTTCGGTGCTTTGCTGTGGCGTGGGCAGGTCCCTTGCACGTGCGCGGTTCTGGCGACTCCTCTGACTGCCCGGGCAGAGCTGAGCCCTCAGAAGCCACCGGGCGTCCTGCACAGCACGGCCTGACCTTTCCCTTTGCTCTGAGCTCTGCGCGTTCGGTGTCCGGGGTCGTACAGGACGGTGCACAGCGGCGGCAGTAAAACAATTCTTATGGTTGTTCTGAGGAACATGCATTATGAGGTTGGTGAATTAATTAAGGCCCAGGAAGAAAAAGGTGAATTCCCCATAGTCCCACACCTGGTGAGGGCTGGGCTTGCATTCAGGATCAATGTCTTCAAAGCCTTTATGCTGCACTGATTGCCCGGTCTAGCTCTGGAGAGATATAGGTAAGCCAGCTTTGGCCCTTGCCCTCAAGAGCTCTAATCTGCGTTCCTTCATAGAATGTACACCAGGTGATAATGGAGGGGAAGATCACTACCACAAGGAGCTGACAGCATTATAATAGCAAGACAGATGACACGAGTCCACTGCACACTCCAGTGCCTGACGTGTAGGGTGGGCCTGTAACCTCTAGTAGAGAGACCTCTGTCTTTGGTTTTCTTACTCTTAAAGTGATAATAGTGCACATCTTTCCTTGTGGTGGTTATGAGAATAAAAGTAGTACACCCAGTGCATAGTACGCATTCTCTGAATATTTTTATTGTTAGACTTCTTGCCTTGTCATTCTCAGACTCCTTCATAGCCTGACCGGTTAAGGAGGTTGAATTACCTAAAGCAGAGATTAGACAAAAGGACATGAGGAATGACTGTGGCTTCCAAGACCTGAGCTGGCTGCAGTAGGAACTTTTGCCTATCACAAAAGTTACTGTTTGCTAAGAGACTACCAATTAGCAGGAGCTTATATATGAGCAGCTCAAGTCACCATTTCTTTTTGGTTTTTGCTGCTAGGGCCTTATGCATGCCAGGCAGCAAGCTACACCCCCAGCCACCCAATCATTACTCCTAAGCCCCACAGCCCAAAAAGGACAGCTTGCTGAGACCTCTTGTGTCTGACATGGGATGGGAATTGTGACTCCTCCCCAAGTTCCCAGGGCTTGGCCTATGGTAGAAACTCAGAAACTGGAAGGAATCAGAAGTAGAACCTGAGTACTACTTTCAGAGATGACCAAACTCCTATTATAATTAGGAAAGTCAGAAAATTTTTCCTAGAAGGAATCACATTTGTGCTTGTGGGTTGAATGAGTGGACTACTTTGGGGATAGGTAGAAAGCACATTGTCTCAGTGCATTGAAGGATGTGAGCAAGTCACATAATTGAAGCGCTCAGAGCTGGGGGTACAGCAGGTCATCCAGCAAGTTAAAACTTGATTTGTGTGTGAGTTAGGGCACAGAGCTAAGCTGTGGGCCTGGGTCCTTCCATGTCTGCTAGTTCTTGAGGAGTAAATGGGCTGTCCCAGTTGTCTAATCTAGTTAGGGTGCTTTGGGACAGCACTTTAAAGTAATAGTAAGAGGACAGTCCCAGAATCATCGCTCTATAGCTCTCCCTCTCTTCCTTCATTTCTAAAATAAATTATAAAATAACAATTATTAACTGGTGGCACACACCTATTATCCCAGCTTTTTGGGAACCTGCGGTAGGAGGATGGCAAGTTCATGGCCAGTGTGGGCAACTTAGCAAGACCCTGTATCAAGGTAAAATAAAAGGGGCTTGGAACGTAGCTTAGGGGTAGAACACTTGGCCTAGCATATGCCAGGTCCTGCATTCAATCCCCAATATAGAAAATTTAAAAAAAAAAAAAACTGTTACTGATGTAGTTAGTTCCAGATTCCTTATAGTAGGTCACTGAAATGTTTATGCTTAATCCTCACAGACTAGTGAAGGAAGTACTGTTATCTTCATTTTTTCCTGAGAAAACTGAGGCAGGGAACAAATATGTTACCTTCCAGTTGGAAGTGGTGGGGTCAGGTCTAAACCCAGGCTCTAGTGCTTGACACTACAAGCTGGGGCAGTTTCCTAGTGATCTCTGATTGGCTTATGCGACCTGAGATAGGTGGATATCTTCTTGAACAGATGTGGCCACTGGGGACAGTCCAAAGTCCCGACGAGGAGTTGGTAAGGCTAGTGGAATTGCATGTCCATGCTCTGGACTGTACCTCTCAGGCCTTTGTGAGGAGGGGACCGAGATGCAGGAACTATTACTCATGCTGTGTCATAAGAATGTTCCTTCCCAGTGTTGGATAGCTTCTCCATGCCCCTTCCCAGGGTGGTTCTGGGCCTCCTGGATAATGCATGTTTGGCTCACCCAGAATCCTTGAAGAGTATAAGAAACATTCTAGTCTGGGGTTGGGATAGGGATTGGAATACCTGCCAAGGCACCCAGCTTGTGCTTAGGGTTTGTAAAGCCATGGAATTGGATCGTTCCAGGGTCCCCTCTGTGTGATGGTCCCGTCTGGGTACCACCTCCTTTCATCACTGGTCATATATAAGCTCCTGCTAATTGGTAGTCTCTTAGCAAACAGTAATTTCTGTGATAGGCAAAAGTTTCTGCTGCAGCCAGCTCAGGTCTTGGAGGCCACAGTCATTCCTCACGCCCTTCTGTCTAATCTCTGCTTTAGGGAATTCAACCCCAATGAAAGCCAGCCTTGAATAATATTGAACTCATTAATTGCTGCTAGTGGGAGAATACTAAATTACTTGATTCTTGATACAGTTGTTGGAATTCTGAGTTTAAAATATTGCTTTGTTGATAAGGTATAAACTTCCCTCATTTGATAAGCTCATTTTATGACCTCATGTCGTGTGCAAAGCATAACTCTGCATTTCTTAGGAGGACCTTCAGTGGAAATAACCGTCCCTCCATGATGGAAGGAATCCAAACTTACTCTGCTTTTCCAAGTGAATCAGGCCTGAGTGAACACTTTTAAATCCTGAGGCAGCTGTGACAGCCAAAAGAGCAATTCAACATAGCCTGGCTGTTAATGCTTTTGGCCCTTCCTTTCTTTCAGCACCAGGTAGACTCTAAAGAGGAAAATGATTATCCCATTAACTGAAAATGAGTTGATTTAACTCTTCTCAAAGTTCTATTCTTACTAGGGAAGACCTATTGTGGATGAAATAGTGTGGTTAGACTTTTGACATCACAGCACACAGCTCTGAACTTTAAAATACACACCATTCTGATGCTCCCGTTAGGGGCAATTGAGGGATTTTTTTGTAAAAATTATTTGATTTTTTTTTTTTTTCCAGCGTACGCAGACTTTACTAAAGGAGTACAAAGAAAGAGATAAGTCCAATATATTTACAGATAAACGCTTTGGGGAGTACAATAGCAACATAAGCCCAGAGGAAAAGATGATGAAGAGATTTGCTCTGGAACAACAGGTATGAAAAGAAAAATGCAGAAGAGTCTGCTTTAAATTTTACAAAAGAAGTCAAGCTCAAAGAGAGGGCTGTTTCTCATTTACCTTTGGGGTTACTTGCCTGCCAGTTATAGGGGATATACCTTGTCAGGTAGGCCCAAGGGAACATGACCTTCTGCAAATGCTAGTTATTAAGTGGATAAACATCGGAGCCAGAGCAGATGGCAGCAGCACATACTGGAGTTCTTCACTAAAAGGCCAGCCCTCAGCTCTGTCAGGGGGGGAGTAAGTGGTGGAGGAGTGTTGTTGGCAGGAAAGCTTGATTTATTGGTAACTTAGCCTGACCCATTGATTTTTTTTAAGAATTTCCATCCGTGGGTTCTGTTTATACCTAAATCATTGATCACATGACCCAGCATAATCTTAAGGCTGGTTAGGCTATGTTGTCATGTTTCACACATAATGGAAAAATAATTTTTTTTTGCTGAGAAATGAATGATAATTTTGGAAAACTGATTTGCCCTGCACTTTTGTCAGCGACATCATGAGAAAAAAAGTATTTACAACCTAAATGAAGATGAAGAATTAACCCATTATGGCCAGTCTTTGGCAGACATCGAAAAGCATAACGACATCGTGGATAGTGACAGTGATGAAGAAAGAGGAACGCTGTCTGGTAAGGTCAGAGGTCTGCCACCCGAGCCTGTGGCCTTGTGGCAAGGGATAGTGCTCACTGGACTTTGTCCTCCTCCTCTCAGAGACCTAGAGAAAGTTGTTTCACACACGTTTCACCTCAGTAAATTCTGCATTTAGCTTTTTAAAAAAAAGTTTCAGAATTTGAGGACAGTGTGGGTAGGTAGGAAGACAGCTGCTTACACAGGCTGAGAAAGCCATTTTCAATGGCTTAAATGCGCCATTTAAGATAGAATTAGAGCTGTGGATGAAACTGATCTCACTGACTCACAAGACAGCTCTTTTACACTAAACTGCAGTGCTTTGTTGCCTGCTATTTATAAATCCTGACCTTTTTGTACCAATGGTGTGTACATACTTCTTTCAGTCTTCCTACAGGACCAGTTACAGTCATTTTGTGCAAGATGTATTATCTATAGATAATAACTTGAAATAGATTAAATCTTGGCCTTGATTATCGCTGTGTTGAAAACTTGGCTGGTGTCTAATAATCTTGGGTTAAAGTTGCAGGCGTGATATTAACTTGTTCACATTCCTTATAAGTGAAGGGTAAATCCCATTTTCCAACATCTTCAGAAGAAATCTACACAGAACTAAAACTGACTCCCAGTTGTGTTTAGTGTCTGGAAAGCTGAGGCAGCAAAGCTTGTTCCTCAAAGCTGCCTTTTGCTTCTGAATAATACAGGGGTGAAAGGTTGAGGAACTGAGGCATCCTGTGGGGCAGAACCTACTGTGCTGTGAAGGGGCCTTCTTGCGGCTCCTGGGATCCAGACAATAAGCAAAGTATGTCACTACATTATGCCATCTAACAAAGTGGAGAGTAAAAAGGAAGCCAGGAAAGGGCTGGAATGTACCTTTGGAAGTCATGACCAGCCTCCCTGAGAACATGTGGTGTTGCCCTGTAAGCCAAGAGCACCCCACAGAGGGAACAGGGAGTCAGAGTGCCTGAGGCAGAGCAGCAGGGTGGCCATCGGCTGAGAGCACGGGAAGCAGTGGTAACACACAGACACAGGACCTCTGGCCACAGAGAGGAGCTTGGCTGTTACTCAGGAAGAAAGCCTTAGAGATGTCTGTGCCATGGAGTCTGATAGGACCAGGTCAACAGGATTTACTAGTTGTTGGATATAGTGTGAGGAAAGGAACTCGGGTGGCTGCAAGGAATTTAGCCCAAGCAACTAGGAGGAGGAATTGTTACCTTTCTTGGAGATGGGGGAAACTAGGACAGACAAGCTGGGGGAGTTTGCGTGCCTGTGAGACAGACAAGGGACAGTGCCAGAGGGCAGCTAGAGGCTAGCTCAGGGAGAACACAGGTAAAGGCAAGAACTGAGAGGTGCCAGCATGGAGACCATATGAAACCACCAAGAGAGCAAGAATGGTTAGAGATGGCAGGAGCTGCAGCCTGAAGAGCTGAGGAATAGGAGACCAAGAGGCCATAGGTGGGCGGTAGCCAGAATCCATGTAGACACAGCATTTCCCAGAGGAGAGTAAGATGCGTCAAGTACTGGCCACAGATCAGCAGGATTCCATTTCAGAAGGCAGGGCAAAGCTGGAGAGGAGTCGGTTTCAAGATGCAGTAGACACAGAATCCTGGGGGCAATGTAAGGTGGGGTTGAAGGAGGCTGTGGAGTGAGATGGGGTCGAGAGTGCTTGCTGTGTGTTCTAATGTAGGGGCAATAAAAGAGTGATCCTACAGAAGGGGAGACAAGGGCATGCTTGCTTGGTATCTGAGAAGGGGGAGATGAGTGTTGAGGTGAGGGTTACCCCAAACAGCTCTGGATAACTGGAGGAGTCACAGTCCTAGGACCCAGCACCACTCTGGTTGACTATGGTCCGCGGACTATTTTTTAGTGAAATAGTAAGCTAGGTCATCAACTTAGGGTGAGCAGAGTGCTAAAAAAAAAGGCTTACCAAACCAGGGCCCAATTTTTATGGTGGTGCTTTCTGGTGTTTCTCTCTAGCTGAGCTGACTGCTGCCCACTTTGGAGGCGGAGTTGGACTCCTTCCCAAGAAAACATCTCAGCAAGAAGGCGAGGAGGGTGCAAAACCAAAGTCACGGAAAGAACTGATTGAAGAGCTTATTGCCAAGTCAAAGCAAGAGAAGGTGGGTAGCTGGTGCTCTTTCTGTGGAGTAGCTCCAGTATGGGAAATGCCCAGCTTGTACTCTTTCTCCCTGTGCATTTCTGGATTTAATAAGAGCATTCATTTTGGGGAGGAATTTTAATCATTTTAATCTTACCAAGCATAGAATTCCAACCGGTGGTTGTTGGCTTTGGTGTTGGATGTGTATCAGGGTGTGCTTGTGAAAGTGGTCGTCACTGCACGTGAAATTGTAGTGACTGCCCAGAGCGTCTAAGTGAGCAGGGAAGCCTGTAGCCCTGCTACAGAAAGGAGGGCTCTCCCTGAGCCTGCCTTTGTGTCTGCACTGACAATACATAGGGTGTGCCTGTTTTTCCAGAGAGAGAGACAGGCAAAACGAGAAGATGCCCTTGAGCTCACGGAGAAGCTGGACCAAGACTGGAAAGAAATCCAGACCCTGCTATCCCACAAAACTCCCAAATCAGAGAAGCAGGAGAAAAAAGAGAAACCTAAGGTAGGAATTAAGGGATTGAAAACTGCAGTGAACTTACATTATCGACTTGGTTCTTCTTTAGAGAAGAAACTGAGGCCAGGATGCTTTCCTGACCTTCCTCTGTTGGGACAGGTTTTCAGTTGCACATCTCTGCTGAATTACCAGATGTGTGCTGAGCTGGGGTAGAAACAGACTTAGGACTCACTACTTGAGGTGGTTAGCATGCCTCTCGGGTGAGAAGTGCTGTGGGTGGAGACATTAGGGTTTGAACCTCCCTGTTCCAAATGTGTTACACTGAGGTATGTTTTAAATACACACTTTTAATATACACTTATTCTTCTGGACAGTATTGCTTCACTCTGCTGTTTTTTATGTCTAAATAGTTGGAAAATGGTGTCTTTGTTTGAACAGCTGGATTCCCAGGGAAATATTAGGATTTTGCTTGGTAACATCATGTGGCCATCTGTAGCACAGCTTTCTCTGCAGAGGAGAAGGCTCAGATAATGGTACCCTGCGTGGCCCTTGCAGAGTGTGTCGGGAATCAAAGCAAAGATCTTTTCTTTTGTTAAACTGTTAAAAAATGTCTCCTCTCCACCGTAGCCTGATGCATACGACATAATGGTTCGTGAGCTTGGCTTTGAAATGAAGGCACAACCGTCTAATAGGATGAAAACGGAGGAGGAGCTGGCAAAGGAGGAGCAAGAGCGGCTGAGGAAGCTGGAGGTACAGGGGCCTGCGTGCGACATAGCAGGCATGGGCAGGCTCTGGGGAACCTCAGTTTCCTGTGTGTAAGATTCAGTTGCTGCCTTTCATTTAAAGCCCTGTCTGCTTTATTTTGAAAGATGGTGTGTTTAAAGTTTGTATTTACTAAAGCAAAAATATAAAATGCTTTAATACCCAAGCACACCAAATAAAATAATGGACATTCCTTACAATTTCTCTTTGTTAAAATATCTGCTAACAATGTAGTTGACTGTATTGCTTTATGGGTTTTATTTTTGCATTAAAATTTTGGGTGGTTGGGTGGGTAGGGTCTGGGGATTTAATTCAGGAGCACTTGACGACTGAGTCACATCCCCAGCCCTATTTTGTATTTTATTTAGATAGGGCCTCACTAAGTTTCTTAGAGCCATGCTTGTTGCTGAGGCTGGCTTTGAACTTGTGATCCTCTTGCCTCAGCCTCCCAAGCTGCTGGGACACAGCACCCAGCTTAAAAAATTTTTAAATGTTATTCCATTTAAACAAACATAAGATAGGGCTGGGTTTGTGGCTCAGCAGTAGAGTACTTGCCTCGCACGTACAAGGCCCTGGGTTCAATCCTCAACACCACATTAAAAATAAGTAAATAAAATAAAAGGTATTCTGTCAAACTACAGCTAAACAAAGATAAGATAGAGACATACTATTCTACACTTGGCCATTTTAATGTAACACAGGTTGTGTTGCAAAGAGAAAGTCCGTGGAGCTCCATTAGGGTCAGATCTTAGAGGAATAGGTTTTCCTTCCTTATGGTTGGAAAGTATTTACCAAGATTGAATAGTCTGATAAATATGGAAGTCTCCCACTTAACACCCAGAGCTCTCTTCTCTGAGTGAAGATGGCAGAAGGCAGGCTGGAGGCCCTGTGGTACGGAGCTGGACACACACTCTCTTTTCATGTGTTTGCTCACACCATGTGGCTTCTCTTTTTCCTTCCTGTCAGGCTGAGAGACTTCGAAGAATGCTTGGAAAGGAGGAGGATGAAAGTATGAAGAATCCAAACCACACGTCAGCGGATGATTTAAATGACGGCTTTGTGCTGGACAAAGATGACAGGCGCCTGCTTTCTTACAAAGTAAGATATTTGGCTTCATTTTCTTTCCTGTTAATTTGAAAACAAGGAGTTCATCACAGATGAGAATGCAAATCTGAAACCATTTCTCTAAAGTTCTTCATCTGAGTGCTGGTGGATGTCAGGTATCAGAACTTCATAAAGGAGCCTGTGTGTGCTCTGTCTCCCTCCCTCTGCAGAAGGTGCCTGATGATGAGCCACGTGGACTGCCTTTGCCGCTTTCCTCAGTTGTTACAATAAGCACTTTCTCATCGTACGGTTTAACTGGTTAGCTGCAGGATCTCAGCAAAACAGGCAACTAACGTAGGGTTATGGCTCTGAGTATTTTTGAGTAATCAAGTTTCTAAAACGGGTATATTTTTATTCACAAAAATGAGAAAGGTCTCTACTCACTTGTCCTTTTAGAGTATAGCAAGGCTGAAAGCAGAAAAATAGACAGGCTGCCGTTTGAACAGAAAAGGGCCCAAGACAGGTGCTGGCAAAAAAAATCCAAGGTTATCTGGAATAGCAGAAATGGGGTTGCGCCCAAATTAGGAAACCACTGCTATCCTCTGTGTTCCAAGTCCCCAACAGAGGCATGATGCTCAAACTCTCAGAGCTGCTGATACCCATGGATAGTGGACACCTTCCCAATCTTGGACCTGCACAGCTCCCTGGCAAGACATAGACCCAGTCTTGGCAGAACTCACTAGGAACCTATATTAGTCCTTTTTTTGCTATTATAACGCAATACTCAAGGTTCAGTGGTTTTATAAAGAGGCTTACGTAGCTCATAGTCATAGACATTCAAGGGCTTGGCAACATCATCTTCTCAGTTGTGGTGAAGGCATCATGGTGGTTTGAGAAAGTGATCATGTCACCAGATAAGAAGTCAAGAGAGGGAGAGGGGCCAGGTTCACACGTTTCTTAAGACTTTCCTGAGAACTCACCAGAATGTCCCAGGAGAACTATCATAATCCTTTCCTAGGACACTGCCCTTCCTGACCTAAGGCCTTCCAGTAGCCCCACCTTTTTTTTTTTTAAATATATTTTTTAATTGCTGGTGGGCACAATATCTTTATTTATTTTTATGTGGTGCTGAGGATTGACCCCAGGGCCTTGCGCATGCTGGGCAGGCGCTCTACCACTCAGCCCCAGCCCCAGCCCTAGGCCCCGCCTTTTGCAGATCCATCACCTCTTACAGCACCACACTGAGGATGAAGATTCCAACACAGGAGCTCTGGAGAGATGTACCATCTCCAAATCATTCTAGAACCCTCATCTCCTGTGTCTGACAGCATAGATGGGGGTGGGCAAGGAGGACCAGGCCCAGGGGATGGACAGGTAGGAACGCACTGTACCTGTTGTGTAATCTGTGCTTTGCACGGTGATGCTCCTGGTCTCTGGTCCCTTTCTAGGATGGAAAGATGAACATTGAGGAGGATGTCCACAAAGAACTAAGCGGGAAAGCTGGCATCCAAGGGAGCGACGAGGAAGGCGAAGGGGAGAGCGACGAGGAGGAGGCCGAAGGGGAGAGCGACGAGGAGGAGGCCGAAGGGGAGAGCGGGAACCCGGACAGCCATTCAGACCTGGACTCGAATGCAGAGAGTGAGGAGGAAAGCGGGAAGCCACCGAGAGCGCAAGGGCAGACTCCTGGGAAGAGATCGAGAAGTGATGACCAGAACACTCGGAAGGCTGCCAGAACTGAGCTGCCCTACACCTTTGCAGGTAGCAGGGTGCTGCTTCTCTTGGGCCCAGGGACAACCTCTGTGACCTGGCTAAGCTGTGCAGCTTGAGTGCACAGGAGTCTGCTGTGTCTGCACCGGGCAGTTTCTGTGGGCTGTATGCAGATGAGGCAGACACACCTTTTCACCTAGTGTCTTCACATTCTCTCTGTGGATCCCAGAGGCTTGTGTTCAGGCCTGAGCACTTGTTTAGCCACATAACCCTCTACGTAAACTTTCAGGGGTTTGTCTGACGTTCACTAAAACTAGTTCAAGTAAATAGCCCTGAGTTATCCTGTGACTGGAGGTTCTTTCTATAGGATAGCTAGCAGTGAGGCTCACCTCCAGGGACGTGACCTTGATGGGTGAGAGTCTCGGGAGGTGGCATTGCTTAGCTCTTGTGTCTCCTTCCAGCTCATCTGGGGCATTGAGGCAATAAAACTAACACTGACACTGAGTGACCCCTGGGTTGTGGATACTGAATCAAAGTCCTGCTCAGGGTAGGGTGGTAGGCCACAAATGCACTGGGGCTGGCCTCGGGTGCATGGTCAATCCTAGATAGCCCAGTTCAGCTAGGTGTCCACTACGTTGGATTGTTTGTGAACAAAAGCACATGTATGATGTGCCTTACCTCTTCTGTTAAAGCAGGGAGCTTTCTTGTCGTGACTACTGTCCCCCTGTGTCAGCACAGGGGGAGCCATGCTCATTGTAAAAATAAGTATGTTTGGGTTCGGTAGCTCCTGAGTCCTATGAGGAGCTGAGATCTGCGTTATCAGGAAGATCGATGGAAGAGCAGCTTTTGGTGGTGGAGCGAATTCAGAAATGCAATCATCCAAGTCTCGCAGTGGGGAACAAGGAGAAATTAGAAGTACGTTGGAATGACAAGGTGCTGAGTACTGGGAGCAGGAGCAGGCCCCCAGTCGGAGCCTCAGGATTGCTGAGGTTACACATATGAAGGTTGCCTCCTGCTGGGGAGCACATGACTGTCCCCCAGAGCTTGTGAGCAGGCCTCACAACAGAATCACCCCTGGGCACTGGGCGCCTCCCTTAGACCTGGCACAGGCCCTTCCTTTCACTTGAGAGCAAATGGCTCACAGCAATCCCATGGCTCTGCCTACTGAGACAATAGCACATGTCCCTCCCCCTTGCTCCGTAGGTGATATGTGTCACCCTGTTAGTTTTGGTGACCAGTGTCTCTGTCTGCAAGTGCCACCTGGTCCTTGGACACCTCCCGGTGTCCCTGTGCTCCAGTTGAGCCTCTGCATTTTGCACAGGTCCCATGTGTGTGGCAGGAGGTCCCTTGACCCACCTCCTTTGCCAGACTAGATAACAGAAGTCACACGCCTGAGGTTCCGATCTTGGTGCTTAGCACTAAGCTCTCTTCCCAATTCATGTTCCTGCAGAAACTGTTCGGCTTCCTTTTGGAATACATTGGAGATTTGGCTACAAATGATCCACCAGACCTCAAAGTAATTGATAAATTGGTTGTGTAAGTAAAAACTGTTTATGTTCCTAAGGATATGGGGCTGAACTGGCAATGTTTCTCCCAGTTAGGCTCATAAATACACATTTTGAAATCAGTAAGGCAGTCTGGTGATATGAGCATGGCAGGTAGGTGGACTGTCCCCAGAGCTTGTGAACAGGACTCACAAAACAAACCCATGGCAGTAACAGTGACACCTTCCCACTCTGGCTCATGCTGCTCCCAGCACCACGGAGATGGGACCTTGTTTTTAAAAAAATGAATCCCTCAGACTCACTTATAGTAGGAGTACCTAGTTTCCCAATGGAGCTCTGGGGGGTTGGGAAGTATTTGGAATGCATGGTAGAGAATCCCATTGTCACTACTGGAACTTGAGCCCTGTGGGCCAGGTCCATCACCACCTCTGTGGATCCTGACAAGGCTGGCTCTACTTGAGCTGGTGATCTCCTGCTAGGAAAGCACTCCTGTGTCCTGCAAAGGGATGGTAGGGGTGGGCTCTGACCCTTATTCCACTAGAAGCTTGTGGCGCTCACGGTGGCCCCTGGCTTCCAGTACTGCTGGCACACACAGAAGGATGGTCTTAACAAAGCATTTGCAAGGAATAAATGAGCTAATGTGTAAAGTACCACAGCTGGCACGTAGAATGTGCCCAACAGTAATAATGTTTCCACTCAGAGGTCATTACCAGATTGTTAGGAAATAGCAAGTCTAAGTACAGTAATTATCATAAAACACCATTAGAAATTATCTGGAGCCAGGAGTGGTGGCACATGCCTGTAATTCCAACTACTTGGAGACTGAGGCAAGAGGGTTGCAAGTTGAGACCAGCCTCAGTAATTTTAGTGAGGCCCTGTCTCAAAATATAAAGTGCTTCGGATGTGGATCAGTGGTAGAGCATTTGTCTGGCATGCACTGGGCCCTGAGTTCAATCTCCAGTACGCCCCCCCCCCCACACACACACACACCCCGAAAAAGAAAACTTACCTGGGTCATCAGGAAGCTCAGCAGACAACAGTAGGAAAAGAGTGAGTCACTCAGACTGGGGCATTGCATGGAGGTCACGCCCTTGGCGTGTGAGGGTTGCCAGCGAGTTCAAAGGGTTCATCCAGAGGCTTCCCTTTCTGACTTGCACAATTAGCAGGTGACTACACAGAACGAGTTTCCAGGAGTTTTGTGTGTTTTGTTGTCCAGAGTCCTCTCCTGACTTGAATTTCTGCTTCATAGGCAGTTATATAATCTTTGCCAGATGTTTCCTGAGTCTGCAAGCAATTCCATAAAATTTGTTCTTCGAGATGCCATGCATGAGATGGAAGAAATGATTGAGACCAAGGGCCGTGCAGTGTTCCCAGGGTTGGATGTGGTAAGCGATGCAGGGTCTGCGGGCATGGTCCTGAGCCATGAGAATCAGGTTCAGGTGGCATCACACAGGACCGGGAGGGTGCATGTGTCTTTGCATTGAGAGGCTGGTTGTGCCCTGGAGCTTCCAAACTGGTGGGGAGAGGACTGCAACAGACCTGAGAGGGCAGTCGTCCACTGGAAGTTAACTGAAGTCGCTGATAGAGATTCTGGTTTGATTCCATGTGGACGGGGCTATATCTGACTTTTTTTCTTTTTTTGGTGGGGTGGGTACTAGGGATTTAACTCAGGAATTTTACCATTGAACTACATCCCCAGCCCTTTTTAATTTTTATCTTGAAACAGGGTCTAAGTTGCTGAGGCTGGCCTCAGACATGTGAGCCTCCTGCCTCAGTCTCCTAATTCATTGGGATTACAGGTTGTGTGCTGCTGTGCCTGGCTGTATCTAGTCTTAATGGCAAAGATGCTTTAAGACTCACAGAAGCATTGTGTTTTCCTAGAGACCCCTGACTATTTGTAACAGCCTTATGTAACACTTAGTATCTTTGAAGAAGAAATGCAGGGTTGCGGTGGCAGACACTCTCAATCTTAGCAGCTCACGAGGTGGAGGCAGGAAGGTCTCGGGTTCAAGGAGCTTAGGAAACAGTGAGACCCTGTTTCCAAATGAAATAGGAAAGGGCATGTGGCTCAGTGGCTAGTACCCTGAGTCCAATTGTCTGGGGCAGGATGCGGGACACTGGCAAGAGCTCCCTTCAGGCCTCTCCCTGGGCCTCATTTTCCTTAGAACCCCCAAATTAAGGTAGGACATGGAGGTCTTTTGGAACACCCTCTTACAGCTCTGCAGTAATACTGCAGAGTCCCTGTCACCACCAGAAAGGAGGAAATGGAGCCTGCTGGCATGTGTCTGCTATTTTTAAATTCACATGGGTCAGAGCCACACCGTTGTGGGTACTTTGGGGGATGTCTTGGTGACCCTGGTCAAGCAGGGCATTCTTGAGATGCTGCAGAGTCCAGACAGGGCAGTTAATCTGCCAGCCACCCTTCTCCGTGGCTCATGTCAGTGTCACCTGTCGCCCCCCACATCTGACTTACACATAGGTGTCCTGCGAGCATAACTGGCTGCCATCATTAAAGAGAACAGCTACATGGATGAGTGTTGACATGGCCCTGGGGAAATTCAGTTGAGGCAGCTTCCTGTCCTGGAGATGGCAGGTATCCCTCTTCCTCGGGGATGTGGCCTTTTACTCTAGCTTTCACATTACGGTAACTGGTGGAGATATCAAGGTTTCAGCATGAGAGAGCTCCCCTTCCTAACCAGTGGAATCCTCACCACACCTGTGACAGGCCCTGGCCTGAGGCTACAGTGGGCTGGGCAGTGCTGGCCTCTGTTTCCTGGAGCCTTGTCCTGAGCCACCCTGCAGAGGTGATGCGGCCCCTCTGATATGCTGCTGCTGGGCTCGTTGCCCTTGCAACCACCCAAGATGGGAAATGGAGTCTCGCCAGCTTCCCGGAAGTGCTGGTTTTAGAGGCTGCATGTCACCCAGAACTGTTGTATGTTTTTGTAATGAAAACAAACCAATGAATGAACTGGTACCTTGGGCCAGGGAGGAGGCATCTTCACCAGTGTGGGTGGAAGGTTCCCTCCTGCTGTATGAAAGGCCACTTCAGACTCCTCCAGCTCTAACGTGGGTCCCTGGCAGCTGCCCCTAAGTACCCCCATCTGCTGCTGGTGGCAGGCTCCTTGTGGAAGCTGCTGCTCTGGGATTGGACCTACTGAAAATAACTGTCTGTTCTAAAGAACCTTGTCATGCTCAGCAGTTCACATGCTTTCTCTGGGTGATGTTTTCAGAAGACCTAGGTGAGGGGGAGCACGGTGCCCACTGACGCTGGCTGTTTCACCAGGACTTTAAACCAGCTCTGCTCCTGGGCCCCTTGTAAGAGTGTGCTTTAGTTGAGCTTCATTTCCTTCTGTAATCTGTGGCAACACTCTCTCTCCAGCTCATTTATTTGAAGATTGCTGGGATGTTGTTTCCGACCTCTGACTTCCGGCACCCAGTTGTGACCCCTGCCTTCCTGTGCCTGAGCCAGCTGCTCACGAAGGTGTGTCTCCTCTTCCCAGCACATCTCAGGGCCATGTTGAACAGGAGCATGGCTGAGGTTCAGGGATACTGACCGTGAGATCAGGCCGAAGCCCATTTGTCTTTAGGACCTGTGAGAACTAAGAGGTCAGAGTTCTGGTCAGACGAGGTGCACAGCACCCTTGAGTGTTTCCCTGGATGGGCAGGGTATGGGAGTCTGGTGTAGAGGTTCATGGTTAGTGGAGGATGTGTCCCCAGGAAGGAGCTGGCAAATCAATATGATAGGGGCTTTTGTTCCCTTTGGGGGTATGGATTTCAAATTGGTTCCCTTTGTGAGGCATACAGTTGGCCCACACAGACTGCAGTGATCCTGCCTTACTCGTGGGTAAGGCTGTGTCATCTGCAGGGGTCATTGTCAGGATGCAGGACTCGCTCTGGGTGAGGCTCAGAGCACAGCTCCCCTGGGCAGCCAGGTGTCTGCCTCACACAGTTCCCAGAACATGAGTCCAGAGCACCAGCTCCCCTGTGGCTTCCTTTCCAGTGCCCGGTGCTGTCACTCCAAGACGTGGTGAAGGGCCTCTTTGTGTGCTGCTTGTTTCTGGAGTTCGTGGCTCTGTCTCACAGATTCGTACCTGAGGTTATTAATTTTCTTCTTGGGATTCTCTACATAGCAACTCCAAACACACAAAGCCAAGGTGAGTTGGTGTGTGGGAACTTCCTTGACATGTATTGTAAAGAGTAATTCCCCAGAGACAAAAACAAACACTTCTGCAGTCTTGTCACCCAGAGCAGCATGTTCTCCTCTGAGTGTGCATGTGCACACACCCACACCCACCTACACTCAGCTTGCTGCTGAGGAAACGTGCTTTCCAGGCCCGAGGTCACATGTGCAAGTCTGAGCAGAGACTATGAAGAGGACACCATACAGCCAGGGCTCAGTGTCAAGAAATATACATAAAAATCTTGACACACTTCTCTCTTAGGCATTGAAATAATATTGTGAAAAGAAACGGGGCTGGGAATGTGGCCCCGTGGTAGAGTGCTTGCCCAGCATGCAAGGGCCTGGGTGCAGTCCCAGCTCCACACACACACAAAACAGAATATCAGTCTTAATTTGGGAGGTTAGTTGTACATGGGAGGGAGCCTGGGGCCTGGTGCATGGTGGTTTGGTTTGGTTTTTGTGTCAGGATGTTGCCCAGGCTGGCCCTGATCTCTTGAGCTCAAAACTAGTCCTCTTGCCTTAGCCTCCCCACACCTTGCTCTTCTTTCGTCCTATGTTAGGTCACTTAGCTCGCCATAGGATTTAGGAAGGAGCAGTAGCGAAGCAGGGTCGTGATGAGGATTCCTCCCACTGGCTGATCTTCTGAACCTGGTCCTGGCCTCAGTGCCCTTCACTGGTCAGGGCTTCCTCACGCAGACTCTTCCTTCTGCAAACTTCTCACTCAGCTGTCTCCCTGGAACTGTGATGGGTGCTTGGTCTCTGTCCCATCTGGGTCTTTTCCAGACTTAGGGCTCTGGCCTCATCTCATTTCCAGCTTGCTTCATGCCCAGAGGCTGACAGAGAGCACAGGGCTGCCTCTGCGGGGCCTGGGTAGGAGCGGTATCTAGGTAGGCAGTTCCTCAATCAGGACTCCATTCCTCCTGCCTGCCCCTCAGCTTTTCTTCCATGACAGGACTTTCCCACGTGTGGCTTCCTTGGTCCCTGGTGGCACTGGTGGCCATTGCTGGCACATGTGTGTCTGGCTCAGTGTTGGCAAAGAGAGGCACAGCCATCCATGTGATCCCCAAAAGGGGAATGGAGGGAAGACGACAGCACTTCTGCTGGAAAGAGCTACAGGAACTACCCCGGGGCCGTGCAGTAGGGTTGGGAAGCTTGCAGTGGTGGCGGGAAGGGCAGCTGGCCTGGCCTGGGGCAATTGACAACAGTCCAGCCATCTGCCCAGCTGCCTCTGCTCAGCCCTGCCCAGGTCTCCGCAGCAGTCTGCCCCCACCCCCAGCATCTGTGTTTCCAGGTGGTGGGCAGGTTAACTGCGGCACACCCTCTGGGTCTCTGCTGACATCCCTCCAGACTTGAAAACTGCCTGACCTTGTCCTCTCCTCCTGGCCATCTCTTTCACTATCCCTTTTCCTACTTAGTTGGTTTCTTTCTGTTGATTTTATTGTGTCTCCCAAGGCTTTGGTCAAGGCCTAGAGCCTATGATACCACACATAGTAGGTCCACAGGAAGTCTATTGCCAGCAAGCCTCCAAGACAGGGTTTAGGCATGGCTCTGACCACCCCCTGCCAAAGCTTCTGCCGGGGCAGCATTGTACCCATGCTGTCTGCCTCCTTGAGTTGACTACAGGTGTGGCACCACCCAGGGAGCCTGGGAGCAGAGGTGCTACAGGCTCAACCTGTAGTCAGTAACATCCCATCATCTCTGTCGTGCTTGGAATTCAGGTTCTACTCTGGTGCATCCTTTCAGAGCACTTGGGAAGAATTCCGAATTGCTCTTGGTCTCTGAAGCAGAAGATGTGGCCACCTGGCAGAGGGGAAGCCTCCCCCTGCGCTGGGCAAGTGGGCCGAGCTCCCCAACTGCAGCTGAGGCCACCCACGCCAGGTATGTCAGACAGCACCCCAGGAGGGTGGAAGACATGGGCACTTTTCACTCACCACCTGAAAGTTTGTTTTTAGCTGGTGTGTTTCTCATGGCCCTTTGGGTTGATGTCAAAAAAGTTTCCTAAAAATGTGGATTTTTTTCGAGTCATACCTGCTTAGTTTCAGTGTTAACCTGGGAAGTAAAGGGAGCCGTCCTTTCCAGTTGGCAGTGTCTCCCACAGCCCTCCTTCCTGCGTGGGAAGGAGGCAGCTGTTCCTGGGTGCCCCCGGCTTGTGGTAAGCTGAGGGCCCTCACTTGACTTCTTGGTAGCATGGCTAGGGTGACCTTCTCACCCAGGGTACTGGTTTCCCAGTGACTGGCTGTCATGGAACAAATGGATGTCCTGCCCTTGTCTCCTGCTCCTGCAGACTGTCCTGCCTGGCTGTGTGTCTGGCCCTGCTAAAACGCTGTGTGCTCATGTATGGCACACTGCCGTCCTTCCACGCCATCATCAGGCCCTTCCCGGCCCTCCTGACAGAGCACCTGACGCATTGCAGCCACCCCCACGAGCTCCAGGTACGCTTTCCTGGTCCTTGAGGTGTCGATGAGCCAGCAGTGGGTCAGTGGCGCATAATTGTCCTTGAGGTTGCTATTTAAGCTAAGGACTCCATCTTTACAAAATCAAACAGGAATGGGAAATGATATCGTACTGTCCCTGGTCTCTGAGCACCACTGGGCTGGATTCAAGCAGAGTCTGGATCCATGCTGTTACTGGGCAGAACCTGCAGGGGGCTGCACTGAAAGACCACTGAGCCCAGCTGGGGCCTGCAGCTGGGTATGCAGCACAAAGAGCACCTCGACTCTGCAGCTGCCCAATGGGTTCTTGGGGTGGTCCCTCTGTTCTGCACAGCCCTGAGGGCTGTCCTCCATGGACTTGGGCCTCGTCACCACAGACCCTCCAGTGCATCCATGCCCTGCGCCCCACCTGCTGTCCCCACCTGCTGCCACCCACAGCACAGGCCTTTCTGCACTGGCCCAGGGGGCCACTGGAGGAGGAGGTGCCAGTCACCCTCTGAGCCCTGGCCCTCCACTGCATTCCCTTTTCATTAAGATCAGAGGCTGGGGCTGGGGCTGGGGCTGGTGCTCAGTGGTAGAGCGTGCGCCTAGCACAGGTGAGGCCCTGGGTTCAATCCCCAGCACCACATACAAATAAATAAAATAAAGGTATTATGTCCAAGTACAGCTAAAAAATATTAAACAAACAAAAACAGGCAAGTGCTGACCACGGCACTGGGCGCTGTGGTGTGCTGCCTCCTGGCCTGGCAGCCTGCCTGTGCTCTCATGTGCTCCTACCTCACAGGCCTGGGATCCTCCTATCTGGTCTTCTTTGCCTGGAACTCTATCCTTAGAGCTATGTGGCTGTCCCCCACTCCTCTGCCAGGCCTCCCGACATCACCACTGTGCTTCCTGGGCCTCTTGCCCTCAGTGTGACCACCCCTGAGTGCTTGCCCCTTCATTCTGTCCCTCTAGGACAGTGGCTTGGCTGTCCTAATCCTGGCTCAGTCTTGAGAGCTGAGAGCAAACCATGTCACCATCCTCCAAGTCATGTCAACTTGTCAGATGCAGATGAGGACGAGATGTTTGTACCTACACCCACTTACTATGGACGTGGCTGTGTTTATGTTTAAATGACAGAGAATTTTATCTCCTGGTCTTACAGAATTTGGGCTAGCCAGGAGGGTGTGATGGGATACGTAGGTTTCTAGGCACTCAGGTTACGTCCAGTTGGGCTAAGAAATGGCCATGCTATGGGCACAGGAAGCCAAGCAGCCCGGGCTCCAGAACATACCTGTGTAGGACCAGCATCGGCGAGTTGCCTGTAGGAGGTTCCTCAGAAGCCCACAGTGGCCTCTCAGCACCTCAGTTGAAGTGTCCTAGCCGTGGTGCTGGTGAAGATAAGGCCCAGCAGCCTCACCTGTCCCCTCGTGTGGCTTCACCAGCTGCCCCATAGCACCTTCCACCAAGCACCGAGACCACCTCAGTAGAGGTGGTGCTCCCTGCACTTCCATGGAAAGTGTGTCGATAGCACATTTCTCTAGGAAGAAGGGATTCTGTTAAGTTTCATAATAGAAGCACGGATATCATGGCTTCTCACTGCCTAAGTAAAGCCTTTTAGTTGAGCCAGGGTGGCCAGTCCCATTGCACATGGTCTCCTTCCTCCCTGAAGGAGGCTCCTCCTCTCACTGCTGTGCTGCCCTTTGAGCAGTCACCACCCTTCACTTACCCAGTGGGGCTGGGCTGGCTGCTGAGGCCGCTGGGCTGTCTCCGTGTTGCCTTGGCTGTGGACCCCATCTGTGAGGGCGCACTGCAGACAGGTAGCCCCAGGACAGCTGCTTCACGTTTTTTCAGGAGCTGTTTCAGAGCACACTGGCAGAGGTGGAAAGCCAAAATCAGCTCTACCGGCCACTGCTGTGTGAGAAGAGCAAGCCAGTCCCGCTAAAGCTGTTCACCCCTCGGCTGGTCAAAGTGTGAGTGGGGGGGCGAGGACACTGGGCTCTGGCTGAGAGGTGGCCCCCATAATGCCTTTGGCTTTCCAATTTCAGCCTGGAATTTGGAAGGAAACAAGGCAGCAGTAAGGAAGAACAGGAAAGGAAGAGGCTGATCCACAAACATAAACGGGAATTCAAGGGTGCCGTCCGAGAAATCCGCAAGGACAATCAGTTCCTGGCTAGGATGCAGCTCTCAGAGATCATGGAAAGGTAAAGACCCTGTGGTGGGAGGCGGACCCTGGTGAGACTGCAGCACTCCCAGGCCCCTGGTCTCTGTCACCAGGATTGCAGACACTGGCATGCAGCAGCCTCTGCAGGGCTGAGCAACTTCATCCCCCACCCCTCCACCCCTGTTTCTCTCCCTTTGGGTTGGACTTGGTAGCTGGTGTCGTTTTGAGCTGTTATTGGGTCACAAGACATCCTCCAAAAATGGGCACTTGCTTCTTTTATAGGGATGCAGAAAGAAAGCGGAGAGTGAAGCACCTTTTTAACAGCCTGGCTACACAGGAGGGTGAATGGAAAGCTCTCAAGAGGAAGAAGTTCAAAAAATAAATTATTTTGTAAATGAGGCGAGGTTGTATTGTGTAATGAAAGTAAGAAGGGGTGCTACATCAGCCTGGGTTTCCCTAGGTTTGAGTTCCTTTTAAAACATCGCGATGAGATAGAATGAATTCAAAAACATACTTTAGGAACAATCCTCTGTGTGAGTTTTGCGCTGATAAACTATATCCATTCTGTGCAGTGAACCCAGGGACACTGAGCCACCCCATCCCTTTTCATTTGAGTCAGGCCTTGCTACATTGCTGGGGCTGGTCTGTACTTTCTATCCTGCTTGGGCCTCCTGAGTCACTGGGATGTGCCACTCACTGTGCTGGACAGCATTTCACTTCAGGATGATGGTCCCATGAGAGGACACTGCCTAGTGCTGTTTGATGTCCTAACTGAAGGACTCTGTGACGTCTGCACAACAGTGCAGCTACACATCTCGTCACAAGTTCACTGCTGAGCAGTACATGACTGAACACAGCTGGATTATTGTGTCCACATGGGTTGTTGTCACCTTGATTTCGGACTTCTCTAGTGCAGTGTGACATCTCACCAAAGAGGTGGATAAGGATAATCCAGAGCTTGACTTTGAATGTGAGAGAAGGTATTGGGGCCACAGTTGGAACCCAGAATGAATACTTGTGGAGTGCCTTTGAGACCACAAAGAGGTAGTGTCAGGGCCACTGCTGGACTAGCAGGTCTGGGGCTCAGAATGGAGTGCACAGGACAACAGGGAACCCCTGGTAGTGTTACCACTGTTTACCAGTGACGAGTCCTTGCTTCCCCAATGCTGAAGTATAGCACCAGAGAAGGCTTTATTAAAGGACAGCAGAAAAGACTTTTCTCCCTGGAGGAAGAAGGGGACCCTAGAGGTGGAATCCGTGGAAGGGCGATGTCTTCCCCTTTTTATAGCTAAGGTCTTCTTTCACCTTTCCCGCATTCCTGTCCTCTGTTCTGTTATCTTTCAGTGATGGAATGTAGGTGGGAAGGCCCAGAGGGTGGGGGACAGGTGGGCCTAAGGAGTAATCTGGGAAGGAAGGACTTTTGGATTGGCATCTCCATGTTTGCTGGGTGCTGCTTCATTAACATTTCAATTTCCCCAGTGCTCCTCTGCTTTCCTGGGCTCCATTCTGTTATGCATATTAGACCCGATTTACCTAACTACCTACCTATCTTTAAATTTGGCTTCAGTGGCATGCCAGGCTCAAGCCAAAATTGTCAAGAACACCGTGGGCTGGCAGGAGGGAAGGCGGTCCCGTGGGACCACACGCAGGCGTCTTACCTGGGATCCTTCTGGGAGGCTTGCCAGGTGTGCGACATCCAGAAGAGCGGGCTGGTCCCTTCTTCGCGGCCACCTAGGCGCAGACGGGACCCTTGGGCAGCCTCCAGTCCATCCCCTGTAAGCTGAGTGAGCTCTGGACGTTGACCCGGCTGCCCCATCCGGGAGGGCCGCCGGGAAACAGGACCAAGCCGCCGGTGCTGTCCCGCTGCGCGATTCACGAGGACGCCCAGAGTCACCCAGAACCCGGGCTGCAGCGCGGTGGGGGCGGAGCGTCCTGCCGCCGGAAGGGGCGGGGCCTGGGCGGTGTCCCGCGTCCGTTTCCGCGCGCCCTTCTGCCTCGGTGGTCGGTGCAGCAGGCCCGGGGCGCCATGGGGTGGGGGGCGGACGCTGGCTGCGCCCCGCGCCCGCCCATCCGCCCGCGGCCCGCGCCCGAGCGCCGCGTGGTGGTCGTGCTCTTCCTGGGCCTGCTGCTGGACCTCTTGGCCTTCACGCTGCTGCTGCCCCTGCTACCCGGGCTGCTGGAGAGCCACGGCCGCGCGCACGTGAGACCCCCGCCCGCCCTGCCCCGCGCCCGCCCGCCCGGCCCGCGCGCCCGCCCAGCCCGCCCCTGCTCCTTGTCCCCAGGACCCGCTCTACGGCTCGTGGCAGCGCGGCGTGGACTGGTTCGCCGCGGCCATCGGGGTGCCGGCGGAGCAGCGCTACCACAGCGTGCTGTTCGGAGGTAGGCGGCCCGCGGCCCTCCGCGACCCCCAGGCCTGCCCGGGCGCGCGGGCCGCCCCTGACCTGTCCCTGTCGCTCAGGTCTGATCGGCTCGGCCTTCTCCTTCCTGCAGTTCCTCTCCGCGCCGCTCACCGGGGCCGCCTCCGACTCCCTGGGGCGGCGCCCAGTGATGCTGCTGTCCCTGGTACGTTCCTCGAACCAGGTGCCCACGGGGTGGCCCGGCCTCCTCCCGCCCACCCAGCAGCCGCGGGATGGGCTTGGCTGGGCATGGGCAAAAAAAGGGTGGCTGTGGGTCCCTCCTCGCCACGGTTGGCCCTGGAAGGATGACTGGTGCCGGCGGCCTGGGCCGCTCCTGCCACCAGGGGCACCGGGGGCTGGGGCGGGGCCCAAGGAGCGTGGCCTGGGCCTGCTCGCCCCCCTCGCGGCCCCTCCTGGCCACCAGTGACTCCACCTGCCCTGCCAGGCGGGTCTGGTTGCCTCCTATGCAGTATGGGCAGCATCCCGGAGCTTCGCGGCCTTTCTGGCCTCCAGGGTGATTGGGGGCATCAGCAAGGGGAACGTCAGCCTCTCCACAGCCATCGTTGCTGACCTGGGCTCACCTCCAGCCCGCAGCCAAGGCATGGTGAGTGCACAGGCCTGGATGAGGGGGCCTGGGCCTGGGCCTGGGCCTTGGCCTCTCTGCCCAGCTCTGATGGCCTTCTCCCCAGGCAGTGATTGGAGTGGCCTTCTCCTTGGCCTTCACACTGGGCCCCATGCTCGGTGCCTCCCTGTCTGTGGAGATGGCACCCTGGCTCAGCCTCTTCTTCGCAGTCTCAAACCTGCTCTTCATCTTCTGCTTCCTGCCAGAGACGCTACCTCCAGAGAAGCGCGTAAGCTGGAGGTTGGGTCCCATGGAATGTCCTCTCAGTCTGTGTCACTGTCTGGTGCCAAGGGAGCTGTGCTGCCCTCTTTGCTGTCTTGGGGCCTGCAGTGCCGGGGCAGTGCTGTTCCTTAAGCTGGTAGGCCTCTCCAACTCCCGCACTCCCGCAGGCACCCTCGGTCGCCCTGGGCTTCCGCGCTGCTGCTGACCTGCTCAGCCCTGTGGCCCTCCTGCGCTTTGCAGCTGTTGCTCGAGGCCAGGACCCACCTGCCAGAGACAGTAAGGAGCCTGCCCTTCCTACCAGGGCTTTCCAGACCTTGGCTGCCTGGTCCGAGGCCCACGTGCGCCCCCTGCTGCCCTGCAGAGCTTGGCAGCCTGCGCGGCCTGGGCCTGGTCTACTTCCTCTACCTCTTCCTGTTCTCGGGGCTGGAGTACACGCTGAGCTTCCTGGCACACCAGCACTTCCAGTTTAGCAGGTGGGTCCCACTGAGCACGCCCTGCCTCAGGGTTCAGTTCCCCACAAGCAGCCTGCTGCCCTCCGCCCTACCCCTGCCCCACTTGGGCTCCAGGCCCCCAGGCTGAGGGCTGGACTCACCCTCTGCCTCCCAGCCTGCAGCAGGGCAAGATGTTTTTCTTCATCGGTCTCACCATGGCCACCATCCAGGGCACCTACGCTCGGCGAATCAGCCCTGGCGGGGAAATGGCAGCTGTCAAGCGGGTAGGGGCTTCCCCTCCAGTGGGTGGTAGGTGGTACCCTGGGTTCTGTGGGTGGGCAGCAGAGCTGGTCTTGAAGCCATGTGACCACCACAGGCCCTGCTGCTGCTGGTGCCAGCCTTCCTTCTCATTGGCTGGGGACACTCACTGCCCGTGCTGGGCCTGGGGCTGCTGCTCTACTCCTTTGGTGAGTGGCCCTGCAGGGCTGGAGGGGGAGCCCCATCCCTGTCCTCTGGGCTGACAGATGCCTCCAATGTCCCCACCAGCCGCTGCTGTCGTGGTGCCTTGCCTGTCCTCCATGGTTGCCAGCTTTGGTAAGTCCTTCCAGGGCCAAGGACACCAAGGTGAGAGGTGACTGGCAGGCACCTGATGAGGTCTCTCCCCGCAGGTTCTCCAGGACAGAAGGGCACTGTCATGGGCACTCTGCGGAGCCTGGGTGCCCTGGCCAGAGCGGTGGGTCCCATGGTGGCTGCCTCAGGTGAGGGCTGTGGGACAGCATTCAGTGTGCTGTGTGACCCCTCGGCTACCCAGCGCTGCTCTTGGCTCCCCACTTGGTCTGACAGGGAGTGGGGGGTGTGGGGGTCCTCGGTCCTGGGGCCCCGGGTGAGCCTGTCCGACTCTCCACAGTGTACTGGCTGGCTGGGGCCCAGGTCTGCTTCACCGTGTGCTCGGGGCTCTTCCTGTTCCCCTTCCTCCTCTTGCTGAAGCTGAGACATCCAGCGCCCATTCTCAAGGCCGAGTAGCTGAGCTGCGTGGCCCACACGGGGCCACCCTTGCTCTAAGTGGGAGCCTGGACCAGAGCCCCTGCCCCCAACTCCCTGCCTTCCCAGTCTAGGAAGAGAGGCTTGCCCACTCTTCCCCCACCCCGGGGTGGGATGGGGCGAGTCTGGCAGCCTTACCCTCTTCTCACTCCAGAGGCCCAGGCAGGGTTGGTGACTCCAAGAACATCAAGTTTTCTGTTCGTTCCTCTCATTGGTGTTGTTGGCCACTGCCCAGGCTTCTTGATGATCAATAAAGCAACTATTTTCCACCAGGTGCCTTTCTGTTCTGCCCCACCAGCCACCACCAAGAGCTGAAAATGCAGCCGGGTGGCTCTTAGTTAGGACAGAACACAGTGTCCCGGAGCCTGTGTCCTCCTCAGCAGATGCTTGGGGAGTCAGGCATGGACCCAAACCTGTGGTCAGTCCTGCTGGCAGACAAGAGGCAGAGCCTTAGGCTGTTGCTATTCCCGACCCCTCCCCATCAGATATGGCCACACTGCTGTTCCTATTCCAGTGAGGCTTGGTCTACTCACATTTGGGGGACAGACTATCAGGACAGGCTCATGTGCTCAAGTGTCCTGTCCAGTAGCTTCCAAATGCCACCTCAGGTTCCCCAGGGAGGCCCAGCAGGGGCACCAAGTTAGATGCACGTTCCCAGTCCACAGCTGCAGGGAGTAGCTGACTGGCGGTGGCCGCAGTGGCAAGGATAGGCGACCCAAACTGCCTGGAGACAAGGGGTCACTGAGCCCCTGGGTTGACAGACTGGCCTGGGCAACACAGCAAGACCCGCCCCATCTCAAAAAAAGGTGGGGGGGAGACACGAAAACTTGGAAATCCTACTTTAAGGCAAGAAAAATACTCGGACAGAAACTGCTTAAAGAGTTTATTTGTGAGTAAAACATGTTACAATGAGGAAAGGACACACAGGCGTCTGCATCGTGAGTGCAACTACGTTTCATGTTGTGATACAAAGAATTAGACTACAAAAGTGAAAACTGAAGGTCACTGCGTATATGGGGCAGGGGGAGGACGAAGGTGGGAAACTATATGCCACCTTGGCAGCAGGCCCTGGGCCACCCTGCCACCAGCCTCGGGTCCCGCTCAGGCACGGTGTTGGTGGGGTTGTGGGCGTTCAGCCCACCATGCTGAAGATGTGGCACCGGTGCTACCCGCCGCTCCCTGGTGGGACACCTCTGGGCCCCCTGGCAGGCACCCCACAGCTCCTGGCACCTTTGAGGACTTATCTAGCCACCCCCTGAGCAGCCTCCAGCCCTTTTCCAGGGATGAGTTGAGTGAAGATTCACAGCAGTATTGACAGAGGAGAGAAGGGTGCAAGAGGCCACCGAGTCAAGACTTCTGTCTTGAGTTCACTTTCATCAGAACCTGGGCATCTTGTAGGCCGAGTTAGGGTGGGAACAGCCCGCCATCAGTTCTGAACCCCCACACAGGCAGGCAGTGCTCCCTGCAGTCTGCCAGAGGCTCCAGAAAGAAAACTAAAGTGATCTGTTCACATTTAGTGAAAAAGGAAGCTAAATTGCAAACCTGCCAAAAGAAAAGACTCTTCTCCCCTCTGGGCATCCCCTTCCCTGTGAATCTGGTTGTGGTGGGGGCTGTCCATCAGCCCATAGGGAGCATAGCACTGGGCATGTGCAGGCCCAGCATCCTGCCCAAACCCACCTCTTCAAGGCAGCCCTGGGGCCACGGGGTGGGCACAGGAGTGCTGCACAGCACCAAGGCTGTGTGCAGGAAAGAGGGAGGTCACTGAGCAGGTGACACCAGCAAAAACCACAAGTTGGATTCAGTCACCTGAGACACCTTGGGGTGAAGAGGAAGCCGAGCAGAGAGTTATTTCACAACAGGAAGGATGAAGTGGTCAAGGCCCAGGGGGACAGTGCCAGAGCTGGTAGAAGCCTCTGGTGCCTTCCAGTTCCAGCCAGGACCATGATTTAGAGGCCCATCTCCCCCAGAACCCGAGGTGGAGGCGGGGGGGGGGGAGGGGGGCAGAGTGCACACATGGGCGGTCAGCACCGGTCTGCATGGGGCTGGGCACAGGCAGGAGGGGCCTAGCTAGGTAGAGGGCTTGGCTTTTCGCATTCCATTACACAAGAGGACAGAACACAGACATAACCAGGGACTCTGGCAGATTCAGGGCTGCTTCAGACAGGACAGTGCAGGCCGGGCCTTCAGGAGTCGCCCCTCTTCTTGCTCTTCTTCAGGAAGGAAGGAGTGCGGAACTTCTTCTTCTTCTTAGACGGGGACTTGCCTGGAGACCCGTCGCTGCCGGGATCCACAGCAGACCCCTCCTCGGCAGCTGGGGGGGCCGTCTCCTCAGCTACTGGGGCTGAGGCTGGCTCAGGGTCAGCAGCGGGGTCTGGGGTAGGGCTTGGGGGACCCTGGGCTTCCTCCTCCTCTAGAGTCGAGAAGCCAAGTGCTTCTGAAGGCTCGTCGGGGGACAGGTCAGGTAGCATCGGC